GGGGCGCATTTGAGGGTGGCGTGCAACGACGCTGGTGGACGTGTCCTGTCGACGGCGGAGGAGTACGCAGCGGCTGGTTTTGGCGACGCTGGGCGCATCGACGTTGCTGGGTGCGGCGCCTGCGACAGGGACACGCACTGCTACGCGCCCGGGACGGCCTCTGCGAGCATGAGGAACGGTGTGTGCGTGTGCGCGTGCGGCAGCGGCGGGTACGGCGAGGCGTGCGTGCCTGTGGGAGCTCCCGCACTGCCGCCCGCTGTGGGCACTGCGTCGAGAGTGTTTGTCCGCGAGGGCGTGACGGTGCAATCGGTGTTCGTTGTGCCTGCCGGTGCGAGCGAGGTGACGCTGCGCCACGTTGTGCTGGACGGCGTGAGTCCTGTGCTCTACGTGCCGTGGATGGCGCGAGACGGCGTGCGGATCGTTGTGCAGAACGTGTCGCTGCTGAACGGTGCCGTGCTGTACGTGATGGGCGGTGGAGCGTTGCGCGGTGCGGTGGCGGCGGGAAGCGACGAGGGCGGGCCGGTGGAGCTGTCGGCGTGCGATGTGGAGGCGCTGAACGGTGCGCTTGTGCTGACCGGCACGTTCCCCGCAGGGTCCGTGCTGACGGTGACGGACTCCCTGCTGGTTGCCGCGAGGCCGACGCCGCTTCCGTATCTTCCCGGCTCGCAGTCCTCGCCGTACGCACCGGTGCTGGTGCTGTCGGGCCTGCGGCTAGTGCGGTCCGTGCTGGTTGTGTCCGGCGTTGCTCTCGTGACCGTGATGACTGGTGGGCGGACGGTGGTGGTGGACGGCGCTGTGCTGGAGCTTGTCGGCGGCGGCGTTGCGCTGGACGCGGCTGTGCTCGGTGGCGACGTTGCGTTGTACGCGAGTGCGCACGTGGTGGCGTCGGAGAGCGCTGTGCTACGCGTGTCGGGGAGCCAGTTGTACGCCGCGCATGGGCTGGTGTTCGACAGCGGTGTGGTGGCTAACGCGTCCGCCGTCGTAGTGAACGACAACGCCGGTGTGCTGACGGATGGCGCGCTGCTGGTGCTGCGGGGGTCGGCGTCGTTTGTTTCCGGGTCGTGGCTGTCGGTGCGCGGCAACAGCATCAGCGGCAGGCTCCTGTCGCTGCCGTCGTACCCGCGCCGTGCGGAGCTCGTGCAGAGCACACTGACGCTTCACGGGAACGCCGGCAGCGGGCCCGTCGTGATGGACGGCACCGTTGCGCTCGGGGGCACCGGCCGAAAGTTCGTTGTGGGGTGCCTGATGCTGAACGGGCAGGCGCTGCAGCCGATGCACTACAGGTCCGCCGGCATCATCGGGGAATTCCGCCCCGTGGCGTGTGGCGTGTGCGACGCCGACGTGCGCTGCTTTGCAGCCGTGACGAGGGCGATGTCGGGGTCGTGCGGCTGCCGCTGTGCTGAGGGCGGGTACGGGCGCGACTGCCTGCCGGTGTACCTGCCGCACGTGGACGGGTGCAACCGCGCGCCTGGCATGCCGCCGCTGAGCCACACGGCGACGCTGACGGAGACGCGCAGCCCGACGCCGACGTGGACACCGACACCGACACCGAGCCTGAGCACGCCGCACTACAGTTCGACGCACTACAGTTTGACGGAGACGCTGCAGGTGACGGTGACGGAGACGCTGTTTCCCACGCGGACCCCGACGGCGTCGGTGAGCAGCACGCTGTGGTGGAGCGACGTGGCGTGCCCGACGCTCGCCGTGACGACGACGGCGGCTGGTGGGAGTCTGGCGCAGAATGACATCCGCGGCGGTGGGAGCGCCGTCCCGAAGCGGCTGATGGTGGCGCTGCCGCCGCCGTTTCGTTGGGCACGTGACCCGCAGATTGGCACGCACCTGAGCTTCGTGCCTGTGTCGACGGCGCAGCCGCGCGGGTTTGGCGGTCCGTGGGGAGCGATGCTGCGCAACGCGACGTGGGTGCGCAACGCGACGAATCCGTCCACCGTCCTGGAGCTGGCTGTGCCCGTGCACCGCGGTTACTTCATTGCTGCCGACGAGACGATAGTCATTCGCTGCGACGCTGCGGCAGTGTCTGGCGGCTGCAAGGGTGTGCTGCTTGGTTTCTTCACGATCAGGTTTGACACGCTGCCCGCCGCAGCCAGCGCTCTCTCGGCGATCACCGGCGTTGTTGCGGGTGCGGCGGCTGTTGCGGTGGTGGTGACCGGCGGGCTGGGCTCCGTCCTGGAGATGCAGGCGCTCGGCGTGTTTGCGAGGATGTCGTGCGCCTCGGCGCAGGAGCGTGCGAGCACCGCTGCGCTGCCGTACTTCCTGTCGGTGTTTGCTGCCCGTGACCCGCTGTGGATGGTGGTGGGCAACGTGCTGCTTGCCGCTGTGTTTGGGTGCGTGCACTGCGGTGTGACGGCGGCCTTCCAGCGGTGGCGCGGCGTGGACGCGGCGAGTGCGTGGGCGGCGATGCGCTTCCCGAGCCTGACGTACGTCGTGGCGCACGCGATGCACCTCGGCATCTTCTTCGGCTCCGTGCTTGCACTGGCGATGCCCGGCGCCCGCGTGCAGCACCGCGTGATTGGAGTTGTTGGCGTGCTGTACGGTGCGGCGTTCCCTGCTGGCGTGTGCTACTTGATTGCCCGCCACGTGGGCGCGAGCTTCACGAGGTACTGGCAGTTTTCGAGGAAGCCGCTGCACGAGCGCCTGCTGTACCCCGTCGGGTATTGGCACCCCGCGGCGCAGCAGCGGATGTACGGCGGCATGCTGACGAACATGAGGGGCAGCCACGTGTACTGGTGCGTGTTCCAGCTGTCGGCGCTGTGTGTGGTGTGCCTGATTGCTGCTGTGCACCCGCCCGTGGGAGGCTGTCACGTCCAGTACTTCTGCATGGCTGCTGTGCTGCTTGCGGGCGCGGGCGTGGTTGCCTTCACGAACATGATGCGCTCGGCCTTTCTGACGGTGATGCACACTGCGGGCTTTGTGCTCCTTGCGACGCTGTGCCTTGTCAGCGCGGCCAACCACCTTGCGCCGAGCGACGGCGGTGAGAGGGCGTACGTGGCTATTGTGCTGCTGCTGACGACTGTGGTGCTTGCGGTCACTGTGTACGGCGTCGTTGTGTGGTACGCGGAGGACCGCCACTGGCAGGAGCTGCGCGAGCCGCAGCGTGGAGGGCTGGAGGCACTGCTGCGCGATGACGAGGATGGCGACGAAGAGACGCAGAAGCCCCACGACGTGACGTTATCGTCGTATGCCCCAGGCACCACCGTTGCGTCATCGTACCGACCACCCGCAGCGCCGCGGCCCGTGGCTGGTGACACCCGCTTAGACGCTCTGAGCCTGCTGGACCGTGCATCCAGTGCGAGCCGTATTGATTGATCACGCCGTTCTCTGAAGTGCGCTACTTGGAATTGGCAGGCGCGTGCTCCTGGTCGATGAGGGAAGGGTGCGACGCCATGGCTGCCGCGCAACAAAACCACTTGTTGCCCTTGCACCGACCGTGTCGTTGTTCGTAGTTTGTATAGACTTGTTTCTGTTTTTGAGCGAGTGCTCGTTCGACTCTTTCCCGTTTCCTGACGACTGTGTGGGAGGGGATTTAGCTGTCGCCCTTGTTGCGCTCGATTTTCTGTTGTACCGTAAAGTAGGACGTGATATTGTGTGCTGAAGCGTATGCTTTTTTTGTGTGTAGTGAAATATATAAACATAGCCGTAGAACACGCACCTGCAGAAATTCATTTGTGGGGAGACTTTAGGAATATTCTCTTTTGATGTTTTTTTTCTTGTGTTTGGTTTGTTGGGTTTCTCACTGCTGGCTGTGCTTCTGTACCGCGCCTCAGCGTTTCTTGTGTCTGTGTGCCCGCATGTCTTCTATTTCCGTATTGTTTCCGCGGCTGCGTTTAGCAAGACACAGAGGCAATAATTTGCTACTGGGGAACTGCGGCGGCGTCCTTCTCCCCGGCGATGAAGTCGCGCCTTCACGCGGTGCTGGGGCGTTGCCTGAATACAAAAACATTGCAGCAGGGGGTCGTTGTGAGCGTGATGGAGACCACGACGATGTGATTGTTTGCCGACAGTCGCCGCATTTCCAAAACGATTTTGTCATGGTTTACTGTGTCAAAGGCATGGGCGTGGTCCACAAAGACAGCCAGCGTGCGGTGTTGTGGAGCGTTGCAGTGCATGGCAGCCCTGAGGTGCAGCAATTGGTCGAGGGAGGAATTGTTGGGCCGAAGGCCAGATGGCTGTGGAGACAACTGGGACTCGATGATGTCTCGGCTGCGCGCGGCACGAATACGTTACATGAGCGATCCGAGGCAACTGCTCAGCGCGACAGGTCGGTGTGAGTGGGTGTTTTGATGCCGTTCTCCCCAGAATGGTGGGAAGGGTGTCATGAATCCAAGTCGCCAATTCCGCCGGCCGGCTTCTATACGTAGGCGTATATTGAACAACCGGGGACAGCACGCTTCGCTACACGGCGTAGATGGCGCAGCGACTTTCCATTCATTCTGTCGGCGACAGGCGCCGGTCCGAAGGGCAACAGTCGTAGGATTCGGTTCAGCTCTGCCATGTTCATTGGGCTGAAGTTTCTCGCATTCGTCAGGATCGGTGGCGGCGGGCAGGAATTTGGGTGCCGTGTTGCTTTTGCCGCCCACGGCTTTGTGTGGCCGACGTTCCGGTGTCTGCTGAGCATTGGGCCATCTGCTTTCATGGCTGGCATGCTCAGGGAGCGAGTGGCATACGCACGGCGTACTATCTGCCGGCTGTTACCGTCCGCGGACTCGAGTTTGGAGAGGAGCGTGCGCCAGCGGCTTTTGGGTACTTCGCGCAGCACTTCTCTGTGACGGAGTTTGAGCCGCTGACTGCGTTCTGCATGGGGTGCGGCGGCGATGTCGCAGTCCGGCTCCGCCAGCTCTGGGGTCCAGAGTGGGGGACGACTGGCGGTTTCCTGCCTGGACAGTTGCCTTGGTGGATTTCTGTATTCCGGATGCAATGTGCTTCTCTGTGCCGTTCATTTTGTTTAATTCTTGCGGGATTCTGTCGAATTGTTTGGTATTCCCGCTTTACTTATTCCAATCCGTTTTCTTCCATGTTAATTATTTCCGGTTAGGCCTCGGAACCACTGCGGGTGCGTCGTCTCCGATCAGAGCATCAAGGAGGGTCATGCAGGGATCACTGTCCGGTGAGGGCTGTGCTCCCCAGTGGGCGACGACACAGTCTTCAGGTAGGGCGATGTCGGATGTTAAACTGCCCTGTTGTTCGGTGTACCTCGTGCGCTCTCCGGCGTTTATGAACTGGGGTACATTCTCAATGCACCGCTGCGCAAAGATATCGCCACGGGAGCCTGATGGGATGCTGCGTTCCCAAGCCTCACTGTGTGCGTTGGTGTCTTTGCCCTATTAGTTGTGGCCCGTCCTCGCAGAGCTGCCCATCCGACTCCTCCACCTTCATACTCTTGGCAGAGGAGGGAAGGAGATACGCCGACGACACCGTCAGTTTTATTCTTGTCTCTGGGTGGCTGGTCGCTTGCGCAAGCTCGATGCCGGCGACAAGGGCCGGTCCTGCTCCCGCCCGCAGCCCCTCACGGACGAGAATGGACACGCCGCCGCCTGGACAGATGCAAGCAGTTCCATGGTGCTGGAACCCTGGCGGGCTGGAACCAGTGGCTTCAGGGTGGGGGCATCTTCACACCCAACGCGCGAACAACACGTTTTTGTCATACAACATCACGCTCAGCGCCAAGCGTTTTGCCAGAGTGAGACCCGCGGCGCTTCAGCGTAACTTCTGCAGAAAGGGGCGGGGATTCTCTTCCACATCTCCTTTTAGCACTGACACAGTACGGATGGCAGTGCTGACGGCAC